TTCGATAGTTTTATAAAACAACCGAGTAATTAGATAGTTTAAACTATCGAGTACGTCGATAGTTTTCACTCGGTTGTGCCCATCACTACGAGTGTCGTGACGAGTAGTTCAGTTGTGAATATATAATTCTTAGTATAAGTCTTAACCTGTAGTTGTATTTTTTTCATCAAAAATATTTATTTAGTATGAATCGTCATCGTAACATAAAACGATTTTTCAAGGATTACGTAAATCAAATCTCTTCCGATTGGAAGATGAGTTACATAAAAGAGGAAGCGGATTTGGCTCAGAAAATTACCACTAGAGGGCGTTAAAAATCCCACCAAAAATTAAACTAGAATATTTGCTTTATATTRCACTAAATTTTCAGAAAATCCACTAAATTTTTAAAACTAAAATGCAGCCTATATTAAATGGTAGAAACCTAAACAAATATATAACATCACAATCACAGTTAAATAACTTCAGCCTTAATAGCTACAAAAAGATAACAAGATAAAATAATACTATTAAACATTTTTAAATAATATATAAAATTATAATCCCAGTTAAATAAGTAATAACTTCAGCCTTTATAGTGTAGCGTCCCAGCATACAGGAGGACGAACGACTGGTGTTGAGGTAGATGGATTGGGTGAAATAAGTATAACAACTTGATTTGTGATTAGTTATTATATATTTATTTGATTGTTATATAATAAAACACTTTACTGCACAAAATGATTTAATTCAAAATATTCCAAGTCCAAATGATTAATTTATAACGGTGTCTGGCGTGAAGGTGCTTGCACTGACTCTGGTGGCTCACGTCTGATTTCGGTTTATTCGGGGATCTACTATAAAGTCCTACTCTCTGCGTTTTCTCTCCTATCGATAAGATGAGTATGTGTCCATGGTCGATCGTACAAATGTGTACGGGCGTATCACCAGGATATCGTAGCATCCCACCCTCGATCGGTCACATCCTGTTATTCGTGACACACGTAATCTCCATAAACCGATGCCCCCATTATTGTTAATATTACTATTATTATTAAATTAAGTACTGCCATTATTACTGGCGTACTCAACCGATGCCCCTATTAGGTTATCTCGTGGYTTGGCAACTATATGCCCCAGGTACATCCAGATGTACATGCATATATAGTGGTCTAGCGGGACTTCAGTACATAGCAATAGTTATAAAAAGATTACAAGATAAAATAATAATATTAAACAACTCTTTTAATATTTAAAAGCATACT